ATCACCAACACTAGGAGATGTTTGGAGATGCACCAATTGTATTTTCCTTGATGTTTTAAGTCTAACCTACCAATTCTGATATTCTTTCTACTGTTAAAACAAATCCATGAGGATCTTAAATTATAAATAAAATAAAATAGTTGAAATGTGGGATCAAATATAACTGAAATAAAATATGAAAGTAATATGTATATACAGAGCTGTACACAGTAAAAGAGACAACGATTATATAAAATCATAGAAGAGATGGATGTTCTCCGTATGAATCAAACGGTGTTCTTACTGCAGGTGACCCGGACACAGAGCTGACCCCCAGACAGAAGCTGTGGGAGCAGATTCAGGCATACCTGTGTACAGACGGTCAGTGTGTTGCTACCTACAACAGGGGCCTTTGAAATCGCTGGCAAGGGAGTTTGCAAAGCATGAGCATCAGTGAAATCAAATAAACTATCAGAGCTGCTCCAAAAAGCAGCAGACAGACATCATGCTGTGAGGAGCCTTCTCATGAGAAAGGAGGCTGTTGAAGCTGCACGTGAATGCCCTCGGTTGGGAACGATGTGTCCAAACAACCACAAGGGGGTTACGTTTCAGTGTTCACAGACTTTTGTCCAGAGAGGAAAGTGAGAGTGAAGAGTAGGTTTCCCTCTGCTGGACAGACAGGAACATTACATTACATGTTAGACGCTTTTATCCAAAGTGATTTACATACTCAATACTGTGGACAATCCCCACAGGAGCCATTTGGGGTGTGAAGTGTCTTGCCCAGGGACACAACGACATGCTGACTGCAGTGGGGTTTGAACCTGTGACCCCCTAATCCGAACACCAACGCACAATCCACTGCGCCACACGCCTCCTAGTAGAGTAGTAGTATCAATATCTCACATTTTAATATTAGTAATTGTTTCTTACAACCCACTGCGCCACACATCTCCACATTACCATCACATTTCTTTGTTCTGTATATGGACAAAAGAGGGTACTTTATTGATGATGATGATGATGATGATGATGATGATGATGATGATGATGATGATGATGATGATGATGATGATGATGATGATGATGATGATGATGTACAGAATGTGTGTTGTGATAAATGAGACCATACAGTCATACCCATTATGGTGGAAACTCCTACAAAGAATCCCGTCTGTTGGGGAATATTTGCTAACATAAATGTTTCCCATGAAGCCTCAGTGGTCAGTTCCACTGAACAGTGGATGACCTCAACAGTACCTTTGTAAAATGGGACACTTTTACTTTCCTTTGACTGGTTAGAAAACGAGGAGTTACATTACTTTTCCTGCCAGAAAGAAAACGGAGTGTTTTTTGGTCCTATACCTTTGCACAAATCTTAAAACATGTTTTAAAATGTGGCCAAATCATTTGATTTAAAACAGTTGTCCAATCTGATGAAAGAATAAATATAGCATGATTAGAAAAGGCTTTATTTTTGAAACTACAATGAACACAACCAATAATGTGGTATATATTTACTCATAACAAAAAGAAACAACATGTGAGTCACACATGTTTCTTGATACAACATGTCTGACTCATCTACCATGCATCATTGCTCAAATAAAAACAACAACCCATTGGTCATGGGAAAGGCACAAAATAAAACATGTCTGAAACAAGCAATGCTTTGTGTTTTCCCTCGAGTTTATAAAATGACCACAACTCAAAGAAGCACAGTTCCCTTAAAGGAAGAGGTGAAATCCAACGTGTGAAGAATGGGGATGTGAATTAGGAACTAAGAAGTGAAACGCACATGAATGGTATCTAACTTTCCACCTAAAGTGTCATGAGTTACGAGAATACATCTATTAAAGCAGGATATATTAATAATTGTTATGTTTGGACATTTTGTCATTAGGTGTCTTCTTACATCTACCTGCATACATGCCTGTGATGATCAGTGGATGCATACATAATGGACATATGCCTAAAAAACAAATAACATTTGAGTTGCATGATAAGAGATACACATTATTTCTTAACACGGACCTGTTGTAAATTGAAACAAAGAATTGTCATGAATATATAAAAAAGAACAATATATATGTTTGTTTTTTTGTATCTGTGATTCAGACGAAGGGGAAGTACAGTATAATTTATAAGGAACCGGAACAAGGGGAAGAAATATGAGGAGAAACACTACCAGCTGTATTTACTCTCTAAATCTATTAATATTTTTATATTTAATTGGTAAACTACATTATCTATTCCTCCTTACATTTTTATTATTGATAAAACATTTAATTATCTTCCTATTTATTTTTATTATTTGTCTCTTTTTTACAGCTTTTTCTTCATTTAAATGCTGTTGGATTAAAGGCTTCACTAAACTTGTTATCCATTTTGTTTTTTACACTTTTTAGGAAATTAGATTGTGTTTTGTGAACAATGACAAAATGAGTCAATAAGAGAAATATAAAAAAATTATTATATTGAAGTAATTGGTAAAAAAGTTAAAGGTCCCATGTCATGCTTTTCCGGTTATCACCCGTCTCCTTGTGTGTTATGAAGGTTTTTCTGCATGTAAACGGTCTGCAGAGTCATAAACCCTCAAAGTACACCCTGTAGCGAGTAAAACTCTAACACAGAAAAGACCTGTCTGTGCTGCCCCAGAACGCCTCGTTGGAGATTTCTCTTTTTCCATTGTTTACTTCCTGGGTTCTGTGTGAACACCCAAATCAACAACAAATGACCGGATTGGTCCATTTGCCTTGTTGGAGATTTCTCTTTGGACCAATCCGCGGAGCACCTCACACACCAGGATCCCTTGGCTAACTAACAGGGAGTCCCCATTGACTTGCATAGAGCTCCCTGAACGCTGGTAATAGACGAGTTGGGATCGCGGAGAAATGCTCTCCGCAGACCCATTCTCACAGCGTTATAATAAACCTTTTTCTTACTCAATATCAAGCCACACTTATTGTTTTTACTTCAGCTGTGAGTGTTTGTGTGTGCTCAGGATGAGTTTCGCTTGTATTCGCTGTATCGCCGACCCGGAAACCTGTCCGCTCCTCGCAGCAACGAGCCTCGCACTGTCCCGACCAATCAGAGCACGCTGGGCTCACAGGGAGGTGGGGGGGGGGGGGGGGGTGGGGATTGCAGGAGCTCCAACAAGCCGTTTAGGACAGAGTGAATACCTGGTGAATACACATAGTTTACAGAGATGCTGTATGAGAAACCAATGTGATTTTGGAAAATTGCACAATTTAAATCTATTCTAGTAGACCTCAACAATGGAAATATATATATATATATGATCAGTAGAAATGACATGGGCCCTTTAAGATAAAAAACATATATCCAAGCAGTTGGTCCATATGATTGAATACACCATTGTATCACTCTTACTGTGTGATTTCTAAACATTATGTATCCCACTGATCTTAGTTATAACTTATTGCAGTTGTTGTAAGGTAACTTAATTATTTTTGTAGAATGCCAGACCAAGTTTTTCATCTGTGTGTTGACAAGTCTGACATTAGTAGACCCACGTTAATATAAAAAGGCCGTGGTGTGTTGATATTAACGTCATGTTATCCCCCACCCACCTATAGTACAATCTAAGCACAACCCCACAGAGGAAACCATACTGGAGTGAATGGAGTTACTGTAATGGTTCACCGCTCGCTTCTGTCTCCGTCTGCCATAACAAAGGGCTGCAGAGGAGTGCTGCCTGCAAGCTGCTGCAGCCTGTCGACTCGGAGCGGTTTACCGAGAGGGGAAAGTTTGTAAACAATCACCTGAAGCCACGTTTCGGTTGAGCTGAGTCAACACATGAATGCAGTGCTGCTCCCCCTCTCCCTGCATCCTGTTTTTGAGAGCCTACAAAGTGCAGGAAACCCAACTCTCTCTTCACAGCTCACAATCTCAATGTGTTCGTGTGGTTTTTAGAAGTCATATGATTATTTGTTCCTAATCTCTCATCGGATCCCTTGCCTATAGTAATACAATCATGTATATAAAAGGTATAGGCTCCATCCCTCCACGTTCTTATACAATTATAGGCCAATAATGTTGCTGTAGTGCTCTGAATTGAGGTTGTTGTTCAAAGTGAGATAGTTCCAAATAGCCCAAGGATGTTCATTTTATTTTTAACAGCCTAATATTACAAAATACCTCAAGGGGCTTTACAATCTGTACACCATAAGAAACCCTCTGTCCTCCTCGACTCTTGCTTTGCGTGGAGAAAAAATTGCACAAACAAAACCCCTTTAACAGAATTTATATTTAAAGATTCCTCACAAAGAGCAACTGGAGGGACGGAAAGACTTGCAATTAATTATGTGTGTTCAGAATAAACTACAAAATAACACAACGTGCACTGAATATGACAAAATGATGTGTGAACATGAAAAGGATTTATCAATATGGCAAAAACCTAGTGGTTTTGAACAAAATAGTTAGTTACACTTAAATCAAACTTTTGACTAAATTGTAAGGCCTTTTACTCAATACTCAGTAACTCAATAGCAAAATTATTTGGAAGCAATACTTGGCTGCACAGCATAAGCAATGACTGTCCTGTTAGTGGGTTTTAAACACATTATTGTGAAAGCTCTTTAAACAAACTGACATCTGAACGTGTTGTATTCCAGCACAAAAAAACAAGATAATCTTTTTTTAAATATTGGCAAAACGTGTTGGGGAAATGTTATTTAAAAGACTAAATGGATACAAAACAACAGGAAATCTTTATGTGGCATGAATTGTGTTTCCAACCACCATATTTATTACAGTAGCCCACGCACTTAGTGACATGATAGTGAAAATAGTGGGCAGACATCAAGTAAACAATCCACTCTATCCACTATGTTCTATTTTAACACAAACTCCAAATTCATAAATGTTTAAATCAAAATGGATAGTTCGAGTTTATTAAAGTTTTAACTAATTCATTACCTCATTATTTGCTCACGTGCCTCACCTCCTGCACGCTGACGTCGCGCGCTGGCCAGTGGGTGACGCGCTTGCTTTATTTTGCGTGCAGCAGAGGAGGAGGAGGCGGCGAAGCAGAAGAAAAGTGCTGCTGTTTGCGGGATCACTCACAAAGTCTCTCCTTTCTGCTTCACTGGCATCGCTGCTGGGAGAGCTAACAGACTGTTTACTGTTTATTTTAATCGGCAGTAACGAGGTCTTCTCTTCCAAACATCAACGCTAACCTCGCTATCGCACCTGCCTCGGAACATGGACAACAAAGACTGATCACACTACGCTTTGCGGCAACACACCGAGACAACCTTACCTAGGAAACCGCAGAGATATTCATTTATTTCAGAGGCTGGGCTGCACACGAGAGGCTGGTGCTGCAGAAGGGGGTTTATGTGCTCGACATTTGCTGGTGGACCTCCATATTGCAGGCCTATCGGAGCCTGGAGGGTTTAATTATAGCAACACTTGGATGCGCGCTCGGACATCCAGCAGGAGAGACATTTTCAAGGGTCGAGGCGGAGAATCTCAGGCCTACATCAGTGTTTTAATTATTTAACAATCCCTGCAGGACAGTACCAAGCATCCGACCATTTTTGATTGGTCTCCGTCTGCAATCCTGTGTGTTCAATGTTTCCTTAAAAACACAGGAGCATAATGTGGGTCATTCCCGAAGATGTGTTACTGGCGGGCGCATTGTGGATCACCGAGAGAGCCAATCCATATTTCATACTCCAGAAACGGAAGGGCCACGGGAATGGAGGCGGAGGACTGGCTGGTGAGTCCTGTTATTAAAGCCTACTGTCATAGATCAACAGCCAAAAAACTATTTATAGTTTTAAATCCAGATCATGAAATGGGGATTTGGTGTCAAGTGAAATGTTTGTTATGAGGAAACGCATGCACAGGACAACGTGAGGTGGATCACATGACCAATCAGCTGGCACAGGTGGCCTTTCACCTGGATGTGACGAGTTAAATGTTTAATTATTCTCAGGTGTTAATTTAAGGATAAACCTTGATAAAACAAGATTGCTGCCATCAAAGTCCACCACAGAAATAATGGTACACTATCTTGTCACTAACTGTCCCTGCAAGATAAATGCATATGTCAGCCATTACAACAATGCAAACGACTGTTCTTGTGCTAATAGCTGTGGAGTCTCAACAACAGTGAATCTATTTAAGACACGGTCTGTTTTGCTTGTTCATGCTGAATCATTCCCCTTCCTCCTTCTCTCACTCCTCCTCCTCCTCCTCCTCTCTCTCTTACTTATTCTATCCAAAATGGGTCAAGCAGCAGCAGCAGGAGAGGAGAAGGAGGAAGTTCAGGTTTTGGAAATGACTGGTTTGAGGTTCACAGTTGAACAGTCCACTGTCCTGGTTTCTCTGAATTTTAAATGTTGGCTCGTGTTTTGACGTTTGAATTCCGCTGGTTGTGTATTTCCCCACAAAGTATTGCACTTCCCCGTGTTTAAGAGGTGTGCTTTAGTTTAGCATCTTTGAGATATTAATTTATCATACTTGTTTAAGAACCTGAACACCTTTTTATGGGATTGTTTTGGTCCTGATTCTAACATTGACTATAATCTAATACAACCATTGGAAGGATTACTGGAGATTATGGGCCCCTCTAAACCCTTATTCTTTGTGTTATTTACAACACTGAACTATGACATGGCCCTATATGACCTGTTTTGTAGATTGTTTAAACAATGGTTTCATATAGGATTGGTTTTTGTTTAAAATAAATAAAATTTGAAGGTGGTTATGCTACATGTCCTCAAGATCAGTCATTAAGCAGGACAACATTGAAGGCCCTTGTTCCAAAATAAAGGACAATTCATTGTTCAAACCAATTACTGGTGATGTCCTTTAGGAAAACTGCCTATGGTAATCCAGTTTTAGGTTAAAACAATTCCTTTCCATGCTATATATGCAGTTAAGTGTTCCACATTGTGTCAATTAGGATTGTTTGAAGGCATTTTGATTTAAATCTAAAGAGGCAATGCTGCCATTACCATAGATTGATCCGTGTTTATTAGGGGTGCACCGAATGGGAAATTCTTGGCCGAAACCGATACCGAAAATAGGAAACAATTGGCCGAATGCCGAAAGGCCGAAAATGATTAATAGAAATATATATATATATAATGTATACATTTTTTACCAATGTTGTTCAGCTACCTGATTATGGAAATAGACATGATTATGGCAAAACTTAACTTAAATAATAATCACTATTATGGGTCCATAAAACATTTATTCAGCACTTTTGAATGCATACAGTACATTTATATATGTCATGTATTATTGCTAAAAAACATTATATCGCAGTCTTAGTGTCGCCAACTCGTTTCTAATATGCAAAGACAACAAATGCGTCTATGATGTATTTTCGATCAGAGGAGATCTCTCTCCCCCGTCTGTGTGCGAGGGGGCGGGGCAGTTTACACACACGCAGCTGCTACATGCAGCGGAGCACACTGCGGAGATGGCGGAGAGAACGCGCTCCGAGGTGTGGTTAAACGTTACCCGTCTCGATGTGGAGAATACTTGTTACCATAAGTGCAATAAGAGTTTAGCATGTAAGCAAGAGCAATTTGTCTAAACATTTAGCAAAAGTGCACCGCATGCAGACGGAGGAATGTACCGGGTTCGACCGTCTTTCTAGCAGCTCTGTAGCCCCATCCACGAGTAACGTTTCCACGTCAGGTGTTATGTATGCTAGCAGCAACACACGGAGTTAACTTCATGATACAAACATGGGTTAATGATTAGAGGTAACTGAGTTATTTAGTTTGTTAAAATGTCAGCTATTCTGTTTACAGTCTGTCATCAGATTATTTAATACGATTTGTTAAAGGCTCAGGGCAATCTCGATGACAAAGGTCAATGTTCCCCCCCCTGTGAGCCAGCCGCGAGCATGGTCGCCGCGTCTTTATTACGTCATCACAACAACACGTTAGATTACCAACGTAAGCCTGTTCTGACATTCGGTGATATTTTTTCGGTGCTAAAACCCTTTCGGCCGAAAGGGCCTTTTTAACCATTTTCGGCCGATAATTTTCGGTGGCCGAATATTCGGTGCATCCCTAGTGTTTATCAGCTCAGCGTCTGTTCCCTGCTGAGAGTTTCTCACTGTTAGTAAGTGACGATGATACCACCAGTAACTATATGATGGGAGTAACATCCCTGCCACTGAGGACCACTCTAACTGAGTCAGGAGTGGGCAATGTATATACAAATATAATATTATATCAATCGTTTAATATTATTATTATCATTTTGTGTATAATAATTCTGAATTTCTGTCATATCGGTGCTTGTGTCCTAATATTACTGACCAAAATGCCACCTAGACACTTTTGTCCTACTTTCAATACTGAAGTAGTCCTTACAACAAGAAACGGTGGTACTAAGAAGAGAATTGAGTGTGTTTCAACCAAAGAGTTTTCACTTATTTTGGACTCCTTTGGACGTTTTCATCCTACCTTTTATCTTTGACCGCCTCAATGAACTTTTTGGACGCCCTGGCTCGGGTTGTAAACCACTGAATCTTCATCATGTTGCAAAAGTCTTTTCAATCAAGGATTGGTATAAAGCAGCTACAGATTGAAAGGGATAGCATTGGGGGTATAAAGTAAATGGAATAGTTGATTCCCGTCTCCAAGTATTTTCATATTTCCTAACCTTAGTGTGATTTATAAAGACTTGAATTAAAAATGTTAAATTCAGCCCTGCAGTCTTTCTACAGTCTGTTGTGGCGCTAGGGGATGGCGTCATCATTGTTATGTAAATGCTCACCATGCTGACACCGTGCTGTGTGCCAGTTGGCGCTCGGCACCCACTGACACTGACACTGCCCACTGCGTCCAGGGGGAGGGGAAACCATTCGGCTGCACCATATTACAGGGATGGGCACAAATACACATGTTTAACTTGACTGGGCTTATGATGTTGGAGCTGCCAGAGACTAAATGAACTTGGCTTCACATGTGAACATTAGTTCAACCCGGAGAGACGTGATGTATGGAATACATATTTATTGTTACACGTCATATGAATGAAATGATTGCCATGATAATACAACAGGAGAATGTAATGGTGTTTGGCAATTAGGCCCCGGTTTGCAGGATAATCATTCAGGAGGGAAAGAACCGCTCCGATGAAATCCCCGGGGTCTAGACACTGGTGGTGGTGATAAGTAGGTGGGACCGGTCTGAAGAAGGAAGGTTTAGCTTTGTCCTGGAGGAGACGGGAGGCGAGAGGGGTGGAGGCGGGTTGCGTGTGGTCACCTGAAATGACAACTGACAGGAAGGAAGAGCAGGTATTTAAGGAATTGAACGTGTGCAGCAATTGGCTGCTGAGGGGTGACGCCCACGCATTTAAGGAGGGGGGAAGGGAGCAATAGAGTGACGTGTAAGTGACTCATTGTTAGGTCTTCCTTATTGAACTTGCGCTAAAGCTTTCATTACTGTAGCTGCATGAACAGTATTAATGCAGTTCCTCCAGAGATGAACTAAAAATATAAATTATTAGCCCTAGCATTAATTAGTAAGGGTCTGAGAAGTCAAAGAGACAATATTTTATGAATGATACATCTCCAAATACCTTTAACTACATATTTAAAGCAGTAGTTAACCTCATTTATCTGAGGTATCATTACACAGGGTTAATCTTGAGGAGCATGTAGAGCCCTTGACTATTATGGATTTCCTTAAATAATCAAAAGCATGTAATTAATGGGGTTTGTTAATAATATTTAGAGTATTGGCAGTGCTGTTATTTAAAGCTTCCTGTGGAGATCTTGTACCGTAGTGCTTTAACAATATTTTCACACAGGTCCCAGTTTTGTTTATTTTTGTTGCGCAAGTGACATGACACACATAACTATAACTGATCAACTGGTAGCAGAAATGTGGCAATAGATGCAGCAGTGTGCCGGCAGTGCAGGGAAGACGAAGATTTGAAGCTATCAAACATAAACAATACAGGTTTAAAACTATAAAGAAATCTTTGCTGATGGTTTATTTATATTTGTTTTGCACTCGGCACATTTGTTACAGCTACATCGGTCTGATAAACAGAATCGAGGTGGTCACACACCTTCAGTGGTCTCCTTTGTTGTGCGTTACCCCCAAGTTTCCTGCGTTAACCTCAACGCGTGGTAGGCTGCACCATGATGCTTTACATGCTGTAGAACAATAGTCGTAAATTAGCAGCTTGTCATGAATATCTAACCACAAGGCATCAAGTATGAGCATCGGGTACTCTCATTCGCTGCATCACTTCGGTGTTTTCTACTTAAACTATGTTGTGACACAAGGATAACTGCACATTAAAGCCTTCTCCGAGGTCAATGTGTAGGCAAGTGTTGAACTTTTAGGTTATGACTGTTTTTGAAACTTGGGATTTTCTTTTGAACAGGGGGAAGTTGTCTTCCCATACAACAGATGTTTGTTTGTCACAAAGGGACTTAACCAGAGTGTCATGCACAATTATCTCATTGTTTTCAGTGTCATTAAGACTCCACTTTGTTGTCTCCTTCAGCCCTGTGGAAACTGTTAAAGGGGCCCTGTTGTGCTTATTTTCAAGTTTCATAATTGTATTGTGTGCTTCTACTGTGACTGGCTTTAATGTTAAAAAAATTGCTTAATTTCTCATACGGCCTGTGCTGCAGCACCTCTTTTCACCCTCTGTCTGAAACCAGAGCCCAGTCTGCGCCGATTGGTTAGCTTGTCGACTCTGTTGTGATTTCATTATGTTTCTGAAGTAAACAAAGGAGTCTAATGGAGGCGTTTCAAGGCGGGGGGGGGGGGGGGGGAAGAGAGTGTGTGGAGAGAAACTCCCTCTGTAGGGAACCTATTGATTTGAGCCTTTACAGACCATTTACATTCACAAAAACCTTTATAACACTACAGGACAGGGAATCATCAAAAGCATAATAGTTCCCCTTTTTTAAAGTGGTAACAATTACAAAAGGGGTTTTTATTTCTAGAACAGGAGACGCATGCACAAATGGGTACTTACTGCAAATGAGTTTGTTTACAAGAAAACTCCTCAGGGATATTTGACCTTTCAATAAAGCTGAAAGTAGGCCTACATTAGAAGATATACCCGCTCAATTTTCTGTTAAATGTTATTTGAATAACACGCATTAAACCCGATAAGCTACATGCTTTTAACCGTCACTTACAGTCTTATCTAATGACCGAGTTTGCATGCCGTGTTTTGTGCGACTGTGCAGAGCTGGAGGGACATTTGAAAGGACGTCTTGTATCCTTTGTTGTCTATATGTAGACGCCATCATTATTCATCAGAGAGAAGGCAAAAAGAATAACTCAGAACAAAACCTGCATTCATCAGACTGTAAATAACCTCAGAATCAGGCCATCGTGTCAGTAGTTACACAACTAGACACTTGCGCATAAAACTACACAATAATTTGAGTCATTTTACAAAACCATATTTCACAATCCGGCTGGTGATCTCTTTATTTCATTTCTGACCTTTATTTATGCAGGTGAATCCCATTGAGATCATTGATCTCTTTTTCAAGGGTGACCTGCTGCAAGTAGGTTCCACATGAATACATATAAACTTAAAACATTCTTTATGTTTGGCTGTAAGTGTGTCAGATACTGACCTCGTCCTTATAGGCCACACAGCTGCTTTGACTGGCGAAGTAAAGGAGAAGCTGTAAAAATACATATCATTGCATAATAGCAGCAATGCAACTTGCATGTGATGGTGATGATTCACACTTGTCTCAGGTTTCTGTTATCTGAAGCAGCATTGATTTAGGCCCTAGCCACACGGAAACGGAAACGAAAGCAAACCAAATTCGATATCAAAAAAGTCTTCCATCCACACGCAATAGGCACCAGCAACGTGTCCTTCCACACAAGACCGCTCGATCCGCTGGAGACGCTGTAGTACATATGCCGGGCCTGTAAGTGGCGCTGTACTTCCACCACAAAATACGCCAAAAGCAGCGAAGAAGACTTCCCGAGCATGCATGGTTGCCATGGTTGCCCTTCTGTTTATTCTCCGTGTGGATTTAGCAGCAGAGCCAGAGGTGGGGAGAGGCAGGGGCCAGAACCTCTTTTTCTCCCTCCCCGAGGCAAGCGTTTGCTCCTGCTGTAAATCTCCCCGGTAGTCCACCAGCAGATGAAAAACACCCACCTCTCCGCCTCTTCCAAGGGACGAGGGAACCGTGCGGCAGAGTTTCCGTTAGAATTTGTTTCCGCCGGTCAACATGTCCGTTAAAGTTTAAATCTTCCGGACAAAATTAGAAAAGTGCCGGTCAAAGGTCTTCTTTGTTATTTATTGAGCTTTAAAACAAATGAATAACGACTCTATATAATAATATAAGAATAATACACGGAGCCTCTCTTTTCCTCCCCCTCTCCTGGCAGCCCAGCAGTATTTTCGTTATCAGGAAATGATCGTATAGGCAGGGCGTAATCATGGAGCCGCTTGGCCCCCCAGAGCGGTGCGCCCTCAGATCTACCCACCTTGGGACCCGTTATCGTGATCTGCGTTTCCCTGTCGGCCTCGTGTGGCCGAACCGTCTATAAGATGGAGAACTGTAGCGGATACGACCCGGTCCGTCACCGTGTGGCTAGGGCATTAAAGTGTCAGGGAGATTGTTTTTCTTTTGTTTGCTCAATGCAAACATCCCACACCAGCAGCTACCACATCAAGCTGTTTTTTGCTTAAAGAGGATAAAAACAAAATGGGTATTTTTTTCATATTGTTTGGTCTGCTGCTGTTTCACTGATTGAGAAACAGTAATGATTCAGAGAGGCTGATTTGTTTTGATCCAACAATAAGGAACTGTGCATCACATGATTTGTACTGTAGATAATGTAGGCTTGTTTTTCCACCCCTCAGAAATAACAGGCGGAACATGTAACCATTACAGCTGTCTTTGTGTTGTGTGCACCCACTCACTCGGCATGTGGAAGGAAATTATTTCCATTTGTTCCTACTCACACGTCTTCCTTTCATGGCCTTCAGTGTAATATCACAGACGGAGGCAAGTGATGGGTAAATAAATAACAACTCACGTTCAATCCACACTGGCTAGGAAACATCTGTCTGTTTCACTTTCCTCAGTCTTACTGACGAGGTGGTCGCACACCTTCAGTGATATCTTTTTTTCTTATTTTTAACCCCCAAGTTTCCTGCGTTAAACCTCAACTCACACGTCGCAGGCTGCACAATGCATTACATGCTAAAGAACAAAAGTCACATTTAGCAGCTTTTCATGAATTTTACACCATAGTGCTTTCCGAACACTTTCATTCGCTGCATTACTTGTTTTTCATTTTGAGATCTAAGGCTAACTGCACAAGTGTTAAACTTTTAAGTTATGACGGTTTTATCACCTTGTGACTTTTCACACAGGGGAAAGTTGTTTTGACACAGATGTTTGTTTGTCACCAAGAGACTTAACCAGAGCGTCATGCTTACTTATCTCAGTTGTTTCAGTGTCATTAAGACTCCATTTGAGCTTATTGACTTCAAACACAAGAGTATTTTATTGTTGTATTCATGGTAGTTCTCATGACAGGGCTCTGACATGTGACATTTGGCATGACGATCAATGTCGAACTGTATTGTATGTATGACAAAAAGGTGAGGTACTGATAAAGAGTAATGTAAATGAGGAAGTTAAAGATTTGTGAAGAAAGGACTTGATGTAGTCCAAGGTCTTGTAAACAATGGAGGGTCAGTGAGTTTAGAGCCCACAGATGTACTTGTTTTATTATTTCTGTCAGCTTCGCTCGCTTCTCTCCCCTTCCTCCCCCTCATCTTCTCTCTGTGTGACTCATGCTGTTTGTTCTGATGAGCGGCTGAACAAAAATAACCCATCTCAGTTCAATGTCTACCTATTCTGAACCCGGGAGAGAATCTACAGCTACCAGCAGCTCAGAAAATAATATCACAATAGCAAATTAGCCCACTGTAGGTTTCTAAATGTAAAGTCATTGTTGTACAGCTTTCTAATTAGGATCTTATATAAAAAAAGATTTTTAAGTTGATCCATTATTAAGAAAAGCTTCTTTGGTTTCCAGGTTGTGAAACTCTGGTTTGCATGCGAGTCATTAATAATCAAGTAATTAGTAAAGGCTGAACGGTTTCTAATCTCATAATGAGCCAGCAGCACCTTCCACAATCAAGAAAATACTCCAAATCCTTTTTGCATTATAGGAAAATTAGCAGCATGTATTTATTATGCAAGCTGATTAGTTGATTATACCCCAATTTGGGACCGGCCTCATGTTGTCCTTTCTGGCAGCAATCTTCCATACAAAGAAACACTGATATCTTTTAAAACCAGATGGCTCTTAATTTTTCCATTTGATTAGCCTATTCATCCTTTTCTCAGGTGACTTTTATCCGGTTTAGTTTCACACCAGTGCTTTCATATGAGGTGAGCAGAAAGCCTACACATCTTACATTGCAGATTGAAAACCCATCTGTTTTGACTTGGCCAATAAAATCAACTAAAAACAAAACCTCCTCATTTCTGTATGTAGCACTTAAAATGGTGTTATGGTTAATGGCTAATGTACTTGCTGGATTCTTGCCGTTGTATCCTTATTGTTGATTGCACTTATTGTTAATGGCTTTGGAAAAAAGCCTCGGATTAAGTAATGTATTAGTTGGCTTCAAAGAATAAAACACATTTAATTTGAACACATAGTGAAACATGTTAAGGGCATCTGTCTAACACTCCTCAGCAGTAAACAAATGCATTTGAATTTATGGCATAGTCGACGATAACAACAACAGGATGACATGTGCTCCAATCATGGGATTCATTTCAGATGATGATTTATGGTTGTATTATGTCTGTAAAGGCTTTTGTTTGTTTCACAGCTGAACATGTTTTTATTACGTTTTTTCTCCGTAATATCATGATTTTTGGTCTCTTGCAGGTTTGCTGGTCGGGACCCTGGATGTGGTTTTGGACTCCAGCGCTCGCATGGCCCCGTATAGGATCCTCTACCAGACCCCCGACTCTCTGATTTACTGGATCATCGCTCATGGTACGTGCCCTTTTTCTAAATGTTGGCTCAATGTTAGACTTGGGGTTAATGCATAAGTATACTTTGACAATTCCGTTTTCTGATTTACCTTATAAGCTTAATTCTGCATATTTAAGATGTACAGTTATGGATTTCAAATTCAAGTCATTATTACATTACTTGTTAGACGCTTTTATCCAAAGCGACTTACATACTCAATACTGTGGGCAATCACCACAGGAGCAATTTAGGGTGAAGTGTCTTGCCCAGGGACACAACGACATGCTGACTGCAGTGGGGTTTGAACCTGTGACCATCTGATAGCAGAACAAGGCTCTAACCACTGCGCCACACGCCTCCATTATTGTCATATGCTCCACAGCGCAACTATTGGAAATAAGTCCAAGGCTCATACAAGACAAAAATAGACACAGGATAGTGTAAGAAAACAGTGCAATGGACCAGTGTTGGAAAGTAACCAAGTATTTCTACTCAATTACTGTACTTAAGTAATATTTTGATGTTTACTTGAGTATTTACATGTAATCGTACTGCTTCTTTTACTCCACTGCAATTTGTGAGAAATATAGTACTTTATACTCGTACATTAGCTAATGAATTATAATGTATTTTCATATCTGATCATACCTGGCAGTAAAATAAGTCATTACATTTACCTCAAGCTTTACCAGCTGCTCAATTTGAGTCATTAACACATTAATGCATCACTCATCAAAATCTAGTCGCATAATATATCATTTTCTAAAGAAATGGCCATTGTACATAACAAGTACTTCTAGATGTTGTACTTTAAAGTATGTGTTGATGCTACAGTAATACTTAGCACTTTTTAACTGAGTAAAACAATAATGCAGGGATTTCTACACTGCTTTTACCCGACTACAATATCTGAGTACTTCTTCCCCCTCTGCAATTGACACGATGGTGCAAGTTAAAATACAGGAACACTCATAGGGTTATTCGAGTATAGACCCCTGTGTGTTTTTACATCCCTCCCCCAGCCACCACACTACCCATAATGCTCCAACATCCTGCCTTTTCCCATGTCAGCGGCTGGATGCCAAGCATTACATCATGCCCCAGCGGTTTTAAAGGGAAGGATTACAGGATCAGGTGCAGGAATCAATGCTCAAATACGAGTGGATGTTGTGTTTTTTTGCTAATCACTTGATGGGTTCTTTTATTTTGATTTCACGCCATCTGCTAGTGTCTCACAATAATGCAATCTGCATAATCTGTGTATGCAAAGCTTTACTTATTATCCCCAGTCAGACACATTCATCATGCAGAACAGCTGCCACACTCCACACTGATAAGAAGCAGCACTCTTCTTATCATTTTTTAAGCTATCATTGAATATGAAATCATCCAAGCTGTCTGTGTGATGAGGCGATTCACATTTCCAACACAAAACCATAGCTGCAAATAACAGTTATTTACTTTATGAATAAACTTGCTGATTACTTAGTCACTCAATCAACCAATAGTTTACTTGGCAGCAGTTTCCGTTGACGCACTCAAAATGCTTGTTTTCCCGGACCAATAGCCTGAAACCTAAAAAAGAAAGCAGTTTATTGTCAGAAAAGACAAAGAAAACCTGCAAATAATCGCATTTAAGAAGCTTTAACCAGCATTGCTTTATCACATCACTTTATGTGCATTAATGTGGGACTTTAGTGGCAATAAAATGCAACTAAACTAATTGGAAATGCATAATATAAATCAGGAAGATAAGATAAGATGGACCTTTATTAATCCCCGTGGGGAAATTCAGTTGTTCAAACAGCAACAGGGTAAGGGTGAACAAACGGTTTAATAACATCATAAGAAATGAATAAAAAAATAAATGAGCATATATACATATTGGGTCTTATAAACTATGAATGAAAATGGACCTATATACAAATTGGGTCTCATATATATATATATATATATATATATATATATTAACATGGGTGTGTGTGGAAACAGTGTGAATATGTCCAGTGATTGTTCACATTATTGACCCCTCCGAGGCACTTGGTGCTGTGTCATGGAGGGATGAGTCTGTGGCCGTTTCTCAATGTCGAGTACACATGCTGCAGAGCCACTATTTCAAGTATACTACGTCATCGAGTGACGCAGAATGCTGGGCATTTAACATGCATTTAAACAGTCCTTCGGCTCCACTCGATTACGTAGTATACTTGAAATAGTGGCTCTGCAGCAGGTTTACTCGACATTGAGAAACGGCCTGTGGCTGAACTGAATACATGATAAGATAATGATGTTTCTGTTTAAATGAAGATGGGTCACTACTGAGACATTTGCAGAGATGAGATTAACTTTTGGTATGTGTGCCACCATGTCTTTAATTCAGCTCTCCCTACCAAATGTTCATATGAACTGAGTAGCTGTTCGCCCTATCTTTCTGAAATGGAGGCCTACTTAAGACTAGCCTGGCTTCAAAATGGCAAAACTCTCCCAGTCCTTAATTCTTTCTCCCAGAGATGGAGGGGAGTGGAGCGGTCTGGCAGACGGGGATAATTCAGTGAATATGCACTCACTGAAGGCCTGTTTGCTGTGCTGAGGGATAATGGTCCTCAGGGGCTGCAGCCATTACTGCGATCACTTTCTCCTGCAGCCAAAAAAATCTGTTTTGACCTCACTGATAACAATGTAGTGTTGTTGTTTAAGGAAATAAATGTGTTTATTTTGAAACTTTGCTCTAACACTGATGCTTTAGACTTAATCAGCCCATCATCGAGTTAAAAGAAGATCTCCCAACTTATTGTTAGTATACAAAAATACCCTTTAATATCTTCCATTGTGATTTTCCCACATTTCATTTTTTTCCACTAATTAATTATTATTATTATTATTAATATTATTACAGACAATTGATAGTGTCAAGGTACGAGAACACAGAGTAAGCTGGAGGGCAGAAAGTTTAGCTTGTAAAGAAAGTGAGTTATCCAATTTCAATGTTTCTTGGTCAAAGATCTCAAATATTATGGCATAAGAACTACAATCTTTATTAAGATCAGAATTTATGTCGAAAAAATTACATTTAAGTGTGTATATACGTGTTTCAATTCTAAAGTAGACATTTAACATGGTAATTTACTGGTATTTCATTGGCTGAAATAATCATCATATAACCAGAAAATGAAAAGAAACAAGAAAGAGAGAAAAAACATGTGGGAAAAAATACTTTGCGAAAGGAAAGATATTGAAAGGTCTCTCTCTCTCTGTCTCTCTGTCTCTGTCTCTGTCTCTGTCTCTCTCTGTCTCTGTCTCTCTCTCTCTTCTCTTCTCTCTCTCCTATCTGTCTCTCTCTCTCTCCCTGTCTCTGTCTCTGTCTCTCTCTCTCTCTTCTCTCTGTCTCTCTCTCTGTCTCTCTCTCTCTCTCTCTCTCTGTCTCTCTCTCTCTCTGTCTCTGTTTCTCTCTCTCTCTCTCTCTGTCTCTCTCTCTGTCTCTCTCTCTCTCTCTTTCTCTCTCTCTCTGTCTCTCTCTCTGTCTCTCTCTCTGTCTCTGTTTCTCTCTCTCTCTCTCTCTCTCTCTCTTTCTCTCTCTCTCTGTCTCTCTCTCTCTCTCTCTCTCTGTCTCTGTCTCTCTCTCTCTCTCTCTCCTGCAGGAACGTCTCGTAAAGAGATCACGGAGCACTGGGAGTGGCTGGAGAACAACCTGCTGCAGACGCTCTCCATCTTTGAGAATGAGAACGACATTACCACCTTTGTCAAAGGAAAAGTCCAGGTACCTGCTCACTCTGTTCCCATCAAGATGTTGGTATAGATATCAGATATTCTGTGTGAAACTAAGTGGACACTGTGATTTATTTTCGTTACTTAACAAAGCCTATGACCTTTTATGGCATACCACACAACTTTTTTCTTTTTGTTTGAATTTTATTGGTGAATAATCATGATCCTCAAACTGTGCAATGTTGGGTCCAAGTCTTTGTGAGAGTCTTTCAAAGTGATTGCATTTTTATTTTAAGAAAATGTGGGAACCCTGCTTAACATAAATGTACATTTTGTCTTGCATATAATGTTGTTCCCATATCATGCATTCCTATAATGTTTTATATTTTATAGTAAAAAAAGTGGTACAAGACGAAAAGGAATCGTACAATAAAAAAAATCTACCCATGAAAAAATTGTTTGCCAGTTTACTGCTGGCATGGATCCTATGAAGTATTTAAACCAGATCGCGATCGACTGGTCGATTGCAAAGGTAGTGTGGGTAGATCGCATGGCATTTAAAAAAAAAAAGTTAGCCTATCATCCATCCTTACTATGGCATTTGCCACTTGATTGACGTACAGGTAAGCCAGTCTGAGTTGTATTGTGCCATACGGGTTCATGCCGTTATGAGGGGGCCTCACCTCCTCATCTGAAGCGCAAATGAGGCGCACTATTATGCACTTATGTGGCGCAATTAGTGTAAGCCACAGTTTATCCGCCGTTTAGTCCACTAGCACCGCTCGTGACACAGATGGTGCAGGGGCGGCCCTGTAGGTAGATCATTTGGGCTTGGTCATTTTAAAAGTAGCTCCCAAGCTGAAAAAGTGTGGGCACCCCTGATTTAAACTGTAGCAGCCTGTGCTAGCTGCATTAAACAATGTGGAATTTTAAATGTCAATCACTTAAACTTCTGCTGCTTTTCTTCAAATACCAACTCTATTGTTTCTCGTCCCTCCAGCTCATTACATCTTTCTGTCTCTGTCCATCTTCAGGGCATCATTGCTGAGTACAACAAGAACCACGACGTCAAAGAGGACGACGACACGGACAAGTTCAAGGAGGCGAGCGCTAAGTTTCGTAAACTGTTCGGGATGCCGGAGGAGGAGAAGCTGGTCAACTATTACTCCTGCAGCTACTGGAAGGGAAAAGTGCCGCGACAGGGCTGGCTCTACCTCAGCATCAACCACCTCTGCTTCTACTCGTACCTGCTGGGAAAAGAAGGTTAGAGAGACTCTGAACACAGTTATTTAGTATTTATGTTTCTTCTGTCTGTTTCTATCTATTATATTGTTTTATTGGCAAGACAATATTTAAATGACCTCTAGGTACTAAATCTTAGAGGTACAGTATTTAAATAATTAGCTTTTCCAGTATTTAACATTTTAGTTCCCATTTAATGGTGAGAATAACTTATTCTGTCTGAGTAAATACTGTGTTAATAAACACATTAAAATTAAAGATTATTTTGAGTAGCATTGTGGGGTATCTAGGTTAACCTTGACCTTTTACTTTTTGAGGTACAATTCAGATAATCATCTTTTGTTTTTCTGGCCACCAATTCCATGTTTTTATTTGTTTTTGTTTGTTTTAACAAGTAGCCAAAAGTGTTTTAAAGATATTAAAATGCGTCAACTTATTTGGGATTTGGCGGAGGCACAAAACAGCAATCTGCTTATGCTCCAAATATTTTCAATATCTTTTTGGCAACCATGCCAACATTGTGTAATTTAAAGGGCAAGATGAGATGAAAACAAGAAATCATTTCAACAAGGCTGCTTTGCTTCTGTCCCCTAAGACATGTTTACTTTGGAGCCACATCTATCGCGATTCTCTCTGATATTATTTCAAAGGAATCTCAGACCTGACCTTTTTTTTCTTTAAGGCTTCATTCTTTTGAGACCTCAAACTATTATTACAGGTTATGTTGCGTTTAGTTCTTGCACACTAATATCTAACCATACAGGTCTAACTACATGTCAAACTGTGCATTATCTTAATTTTCTTGCATGCTGTTCAAGCTAATACCTTTTTTGCAAGTCTTGACCAATATCCTGAGGGCAACAGTCAAATGTTAATGTTAATCTATTGTCTACTCTACTGTATGTATACTCGTGTATTTTCCTTAATGTGTTTTCCTTATTTTCAGCCAAACTGGTGATGCGTTGGGCAGATATCACTCAGCTGGAGAAGAGCGCCACCCTCCTGCTGCCCGACGGGATCAAAGTGAGCACCCGCCTCAGCGCGCACGTCTTCTCCGTCTTCCTGAACATCAACGAGACCTTCAAGCTGGCGGAGCAGCTGGCAAACATCGCCATGCGGCAGCTGCTGGACAACAAAGGCTTCGAGCAGGACCGCTCGCTGCCCAAGCTCAAGAAGAAATCCCCCACCAAGGTGTCGGCTCTCAAGAGGTGAGAAATAACCAAAGCTGAGCACTTATTTACGCTCATCAATAATTAAAGTATTAGCATGTTTTATGACATACAATCGATTGAACATTAATGTGTCGCGGTGGGTAGAGCAGCTGGTTATCTTAAAGGCACAGAGGATGAAAATCTTAAGCACTGTTGCAGGTTGAGGTCTTAAGGTTTAACTGCAAAAGCAAAACATGCATAATAGGAAATAAATAGTATACTATTGAAGGGTCTCTGCAAGCATCGAAGAACTTTCTTGAGATTCAAATGTTGCTTGGTCAACCCATTTTATTTTTTTAACTAAAATGAAAATTGAATATGGGAGTTTTTTGTATTTCTATGTATTGCAATTTTTTACTTGAGTAACATTGCTAATAGTTGTTAGAACCATGTTAATGCAAAGATGATTATTCAGGTTTAACCCATGCTGTTTGTCAGAAGAATGTCACTGGCTTGATCTTCAATAATCAGGATACATGTCTTCATTATCCTTGCAAGAATGGAAGTAGTCATCACATACACGAGGTTGCATGGGACAAAAGAGTGATATGCTTATATATAAGAGAGGGTCTTACAGTCAACAAGATGGAAGAATATCAGTTCGAAGCAGTATTCTGACATTAGTTAAGATTAGCTAAGGCCTGCGTAAGCAATAAACATGACAGTCAGATGTCTATCTCTGCGTCATCAGGCCACTCTTAGGAACATAGCTATCATAACTTCAACACAGTGTCTCATGAGCGTCATCCATGTAGTCATACATCCGGCTACTGTAGGAGCAAACACAATAGTGGTGGCTTAAAGCCCACCTCTGCTCCGCGCCGTCCTTTAGATGAGCCTGGTCAGATTTAATAAAAGAAGGAGTTCAAAACACCGGCATAAAAGTTATAACAATAATCTGATTTTAATACAGTAAAAAACACAATACGAAATACAGAGTGCCCTGAAACAGAGCACTCCGGGCTCCCCGCTCTACTGCCGTGCGATACAGATATCGGGACCAGCCAGTCAGTAACAGGGAGCATTTTGCATGAAGAAACAACAGTATATATGGACATATTTGGGGCGGAGATCCACTTCTTATCTTCCACCGGACCCAACTCCTTTAATTTCCCAGGGAAGGTTTCACACAAACTATTCTTTTCTAAACAATCAAACATTGTACACAGATATATTGGTATCAAACATTGTACACAGATATATTGGTATCAAACATTGTACACAGATATATTGGTGCTTGGGATTATATTGGCCCCAGAAAGAACCTTGAAAAAGAACATGTGTTAGTGAGGGGAAGTGTATGTGTGTGTGTGTGTGTGTGCTGATAAGCGGAGGCGTATGTGTGTGTGTTGCTGATATCTGGGTCAGGAAGTGTATGTGTGTGTGTTTGCTGATGGGAGGAAGTGTATGTGTGTGTGTCAGGGTCTCTGGGTCATGGAGTGTAAGTAAGAAGGTTTATATATATATATATATATATATATATATATATATAATTATATATTTATATATAATAAATAATACATGTTCACTTCAATACAGTTCAAGATAATACCTGTTTACTTTAATACAGTTTAGAACAATATCGGTTTGCTTTACTACGTACACAGCTACGTAGGGCCTCTGTTATCATGTGCTACTCTGATATAGAAGGAACATTCAGTATTTTCCCAACACTGTTATATTTTACATAAACACAAATCTGTCTGCTCATACAGTATGACTCTGCATTTTCCATCCTGCAGGGATTTGGATGCGAGAGCGAAGAGTGAGCGTTACCGAGCGCTCTTCCGTCTGCCCAAAGACGAGAAGCTGGACGGACACACAGACTGCACCCTGTGGACGCCCTTCAACAAGATGCACATCCTGGGACAGATGTTCGTTTCCACCAACTACATCTGCTTCACCAGCAAGGAGGAGACGCTGTGCAGCCTCATCATTCCCCTACGAGAGGCGAGTGCTTCTGTCTGACTTCTCAGTGTGTTTTATGTACAGCTTGCAATGTGGGAGATGTAATAATAACAGTGACATTAACTGGCAAAGATAATGTTGTTTTTTTCAGCACCTCAATAAAAAAGCAGTCATCAGAAGTAAACCGCTAAGATGACATGCGAATGTATTTAGTAATGTTGTCTTGTAGGGAATTATGACTGTAAATGGATGAACACAAAGTAATGCCGTTCATAATGGCAGCCTATTGCTCCTAACACTAGGATGGGTCAAATGCAGAGAAACCATTTTGTTACATAGTAAGTAGGCCTAACTGTGTAATGACAATAAAAGTACAAATAAATACTTGCTATTGTAAGTGTGCCAGTCTTTACAATTAAATGATTGCTAAATCTGAACAGATATCAGTAAACACTTAAAGGAATACTCCACCCCAAATTGACCATTTGTGTATCAATCAGTGGTGACCATGAATTCTTGAAGGAAACTCAATTTGTATTGCATGCGTCCATGATGAACAAAGAATTAAAAAATGACAGTATTCTTGATGAATTGAAGTAAATGGGTGCTTCTTTCAACAACAATAATATATATTAAAACATCTGTTAAACTGTCATGCAACTTGTGCAGTATGCAATGTGTTAAAAATAAATACCAAGGTAACACAGGGAGAGTAGTTGATGTACAAGGCCGGATCAGGGGAGCACTGGTTCAATCCCCACTGCAGTCGGCATGTCGTCGTGTCCCTAGGCAACACCCAAATTGCTCCTGTGGGGATTGCAGACAGTATTGATTGTTTGTAAGTTGCTTTGGGTAAAAGCGTCTAACAAGTGACGTGTGATATACAGATGATCATTGAAGGGGTTGAGTACTCCTTAATTATGACGTTTTTTTTACAAGTGGTCTAGATTTAGTCATCAAAAATATGTTTGCAAAATGAGAGCACCTGTTTCTGACATATTTCATGGATGTGTCTGCTTCTCATGTATTACTTTGTATTAACTGAGATTGTGAATGTTCCTCCAGGTGACCATCGTGGAGAAGGCAGACAGCTCCAACGTGCTGCCCAGCCCGCTCTCCATCAGCACCAAGAACAGAATGACATTCCTGTTTGCTAATCTGAAGGACCGGGACTTCCTGGTCCAGAGGATTTCTGACTTCCTGCAGCAGACCACCTCCAAGATCTACCTGGAGAGAGAGCTCACCGGCAGCCTGACCAGCTCCGATGACGAGGTACAAAAATTCAGTTTTTCAGACCTAGTTTAAAATGTGGTGGGGACTGTGTCCATTAAAAGCTCCAACCGTTAAACATGATGTCCGCCCCCCCCCCAGGTTTACTCCCAGCATGGGTCCCTGCTCTCCAGCAGCCCGCAGAACAGTGTGAGCTCAGAAGGCGAGCGCACGTTCAACCTGAACGACAGCAGCGTGCCTACAGCCACTCAAGCTCTCATGACCATGTACCGCCGCCGCTCACCTGAGGAGTTCAACCCCAAGCTGGTGAGTTAAAAGCACTCTGTCAAGTATAGTTAAAGGCACGACAACGGATGCCTTCAGTAATTATTTAATATGTTGTTTTATTTTCCCACTGACACCCAAGACTTGTTTCTGGAGCCGTAGTCTTTGAACTTTTCTGTGAGATTTAATATCCATGTTTACTTCATTTTCTCTTAATGGTTGTAGAACTATAAATAGAGGGTCCAAAGATGGTGTTAATGACACTCTGAATTTATCTGCTCCCATTAAAAGCTATTTGTAAACTAGTGAATACATTACTTGTCTTTCCATAATTGCCATTATTATACTGCACATATTTTAAGCTGCATGGAGGATTGCAGCTAAAATGTACATTGCAAGAATATTGTTCTTGTAAGACTATGTATGAATAAAGTCATAACTTTCCTTTAGCTAAATTCACTGGCACTGTGAATCTGCATTATTCAATATAACAATATTATTTTTTTGTGGACGTGTGCAAGAAAGCTATCTTACTATTCTTATATTATAATACATACTGTTTACAGATTTTTACTTATTTTGCTACTGCATCTTAATAAGGCTGTTTCCCTCTTTGCAGGCGAAGGAGTTCCTGAAGGAGCAGGCGTGGAAGAACCACTTCACAGAGTACGGGCAGGGAGTGTGTATGTACCGCACGGAGAAGACCAAGGAGCTGGTCCTCAAGGGGATTCCTGAGAGCATGAGAGGAGAGCTCTGGCTGCTCTTCTCTGGTGAGCAAACATGCAGAGAAACACAACACACACAGTGTATACAGAAAGCGGTAAAATGATTCATACACAGCACCTGAGGAGACCACACCCTGCATACTACATGCTCACACCTGATCATAACATGAAGCATATTTTACTCGGGTGTCACCTATCCATAGACACAATTACGCTGTGGAAGAAACAATTACTAATATTAAAATGTGAGATATTGATACTACTACTACGGCTATGCCTGTGTTGCATAGTGAAGATTAGTTTTCCACTGTATTTATTTCACAGTTTCAAAATAAATATTGGGTTATTCAAGAATGTTTTAATTTTTCCAACACTTAGTGCCGGCTCTAGCCAAGACGGTGCCTTAGGCCGGATCTAAAAGGAAAAAAAATATTTAAAAAGACAAGCAAATATTTATTTAAGACAAGTAGACAAGCAAATATTTATTTAAGACAAGTAGACAAGCAAATATGTATTCTTTCTCAGATTGTTTTACTTTAAATCAGAATCAAATCTACTTTATTCATCCCCGGGAGGCATCAGGTTTATGTTACAGCTGCTTTTAGTGTAGAATAGAATAACCATAGAAAACATATATAGACATAAAAAGAAAAAAGGAGGAAAATGTTTTTGGAACAGGAACGGCTTCATTCATAAAGATGCAGGTATTTTTTTTACATGAGTGCTTGAACACAGCATTTAAACCAAAGCCATTGAAGATTAAACCTCTGCAGACTCTACAGAGGACCTGTGCGTGTCATTCCACAACAGGTTGTTCATTCAGGTGTTCAACCTCACACATACTGCAGCTACTCTTCCTCACCTGAACAGAGCTCCTCTCTCTCCAGTGACTCACTTATTGCTCACCTGGCTGTTGTCATAGCTGCATTATGATGACCTTAGTTAACCTTACTTCCATCTTTTTAAATTAGTTTTGTTTATACTAAACTAATAAAAGAGAAGCTAGTTGTTAACTTAATTTGCGTGTGTAAAACCAGTTTGGTGAGCTTCTGAGCAGGTTACCTGAGGTATGTTGATAACTGAGAGAAGCCTGCTGGAACAATGACTAATGTGAAGAGACGTCCTCTAGGTTTACTTTAAAGTTAAAGTACAGCTAACCAGCATCAGATCTGTAACGCATCTAAATACCAATTACCAGCACCTTGGTGTTGCAGCACTAACATATTCCCTCAGTCCACTTTAGCTGTGACACGCTCCTCCATAGGTCACTGTTCATCGGCCGCAGCTGACATTTAGGTGGAGTCAAGTGTATAATAGGTGTAGGTGCATAATTGCGTTCATGCCCAAATGATTTTTTTAATTGCATAACATATTGTGACATTTTTATGACATACTATACAATAGCTTTTACCATGGCATACTATGCTTTACTAACTGACTTTTGATGTTTTCTCTGATTTGAATTTAATTCTAACTTGTGTTGACAGTTTGTAATGCTTCACTTGGAAATGGTAGATGTATATAGTGATATGTTATTTTAGTTTATTTTTTAATTACTACTAGTTGTGAAAAACACTTACTTCCAACATTGAGACATCACAAACCAAAGATAACACGAAGACTCACATCTTATGGGATCCAAATATTTTCTGACAGCCTTAAATGTGACCAACTTGGCATATCTGTTGAACTTCCTGGAAAAGATCTGAATGACTGACTGATAATTAAATCTCCTGTGGTTTTTTTTTTATAGGGACGATCAACGAGATGGCCACCCACCCCGGATACTACGAAGACCTGGTGGAGAAGTCGATGGGGAAATACAACCTGGCGACAGAGGAGATCGAGAGGGACCTGCACCGCTCGCTGCCCGAACACCCGGCCTTTCAGAACGAGATGGGCATCGCCGCGCTGCGCAGGGTCCTCACGGCCTACGCTTTCAGAAACCCCAACATCGGATACTGTCAGGTACACACGCCTGTTTTAGATTTTGACATACAGGAGACTTGCGGTCCTTGACAGTATTTTAATCTATATTCTTCTCTCCTTCGACACCACAGGCTATGAATATTGTGACCTCTGTGTTGCTGCTCTACGCCAAAGAAGAGGAGGCTTTCTGGCTGCTGGTGGCGCTCTGTGAGAGGATGCTGCCCGACTACTACAACACCAGGGTTGTAGGTCAGTGTGTACTTGTGTATTTTAAAGTGTTAGACTGTTTTTTATTTATTTAACATCCACTGTTTGTCACCTGTTCTCCATGTGAATTATTAAGATAATTCAATTGTAAATGTGTGTGTACAGTATTTCTTAAACATGACAGAATGAGACTATACTAATGATTATTGTGTATAAAAGGCCCCAGTATGTATGTATGTATGTATGTGTATATATATTATCTCAATTGCTATACCTTATTTGCTGCTTCTATGCATTTTAAACTTTCCATTTTGAATAGCAAATGTGCATTTACGGTGATATTGGTGGGTGGCAGATTTTGAAGTTTCTAGACTCAACAAATGGTCTATAATTTTGCACAGAAGTTAACAAAGCTCTCGGCCCATTTCATTTGTTCTTTTTTATACTTTAACTAAATAAACGCCTTTTTCCTGACCATGTGTTCCCCAGGAGCCCTGGTGGATCAGGGGGTGTTCGAGGAGCTGGCCCGTGAGTACGTCCCTCAGCTGTACGACTGCATGCAGGACCTCGGGGTCATCTCCACCATCTCTCTCTCCTGGTTCCTCACCCTCTTCCTGTCCGTCATGCCGTTTGAGAGCGCCGTGGTGGTGGTGGACTGCTTCTTCTACGACGGCATCAAGGTCATCTTTCAGCTGGCGCTCTCCGTGCTGCACGCCAACATCCACCAGCTGCTCAGCTGCAAGGACGATGGAGAGGCCATGACTGTTCTCGGCAGGTGAGGAGAGACAAAGATTACAAAAAAACTGTTTTCTAGTATTTAACAATATCCTCAATTCTCTCCAAAACCCTACAATTCCACTGTTTATCTTTTTATTTCATCCCATAAGCCTTAAAGATGATATTAATGTTGGTAAATCTATTGTTTATTGTAGATACTTGGACAGTGTGACCAATAAGGACAGCACCCTCCCTCCCATCCCCCACCTGCACTCCCTACTGACAGACAATGGAGAACCACATCCAGATGTCGACATCTTCAAACTGGTCCGCAGCTCCTACGAGGTATTTAAGCAGGATGATGAAGAATGATGATGATGATGGTGTGTGGAAAACTGTGTCCTCCACTGTGCTCTGTCTACAGACGTGCAGGGAAATGGTACAAATCTGACATTTATTATATTAAGTGCTTCCTAATATAATGTTCTTTCTCAGGGAAGCATAACATGCAGTATGCTTTCAGTCTATACGAGTTTAACCTAAGTTTACATACATTTTCAAAAGTTTCCCAGATGTCTCCTCACAATCACCAATGTGTCTCCAGCTGTCCTTTCACTGTGACAACTTTGAATAATGCCACACCTGGTTTACCCATTTGTCTTTCTTTGTGTCAGAACTTCGGTTCAATCCGTGCAGATGTGATTGAACAGATGCGTTTCAAACAGAGACTGAGGGTCATCCAAACCATTGAAGATACAACTAAACGCAACGTGGTAAGAACCCACCGACTGTTCCTCTTTGTTTGAATGGATCTGGACAAATGTCTGTAAAAGTGTTGGAGGTTTATTTACTACAATGTTCTTGCTTAACCGTGTGTGCAGATGGGCAGCTACAAAAGTTCTGCTGGCTAAATTAGATTTGTGTTTTGAAACCTAATAAACGACATTCTTGTTATAATTAGATACTCTGCTCTCTTCACGCCCTTTCTACTATTCATACTTAATGTCATTACATTATGTTTCAGGTCAGGACCATTGTAACAGAGACTGCCTTCAGCATTGATGAGCTGGAGGAGCTCTATGTGCTCTTTAAGGTGAGTGACCGCTTACATACTCGTCTAATAAAGCAATTAAGGATTAAGACAAATAGTAGGGGGATATTGCTAATTAAAAGCCAAGTGAAAAAAGTGTTTCAGCTGTCCTTGTCTACTGAAATGAAAATGTCTACTGAATTTACATCATAATATTTGTTCAACAGTTAGTGAGCATTGTAGATAAAAGGCACTTCCCCAGTTTTTTTTTATTTTCTCCTAACATTTCAGAGTCCTCACTTGCTTTTCCTCTCTCCAGGCGGAGCACCTGACCAGCTGTTACTGGGGCGGCAGCAGCAACCCCACGGAGCGCCACGACCCCAGCCTGCCGTACCTGGAGCAGTACCGCATGGACGTGGAGCAGTTCAGGGGGCTGTTCAACCTGCTGTTCCCCTGGGCCAATGGGGCGCACTCCGACCCCTTGGCCCTGCGCTTCTTCCGCATGCTCGACCAGAACGGAGACGCACTCATCAACTTCCGGGAGTTCATCAGCGGCCTGGGTAAGTACAGCGAGGTTGTGCATGACTTCATTGAACTACTATCCTCTGACATTTTTTTTTCAGACAGGCTATACTATTTCTTTTATCATGGCTTTATCATAACATACTATACTACGAATTATTTTGTCATACTATCCTCTGACTTTTTTTGTGATGTTTTTTTTGATTATCCATCATAACTTCCATCATGTTGTTGTTGACATCCTCGTGGATTCATCCTCTTATTACAGACACATGCATTTTCAAACATTTGGTCTACCTATGCTGTAAAATGTATTATCTCTTCGATTTACACACGGCATCTATTGCACGTCTGTCCGTCCTGGGAGAGGGATTCTTCCTCTGTTGCTCTCCCTGAGGTTTCTCCCATTTTTCCCTTTAAACTGTGGGTTTTCTCTGGAAGTTTTTCCTTGTACGATGTGAGGGTCTAAGGACAGAGGGTCTAAGGACAGAGGGTCTAAGGATAGAGGGTGTCGTTTTTCTCATACTGATATTCTGAACAATCTGTGCTGTTGTATTTGCTGTAAAGTGTCTCTACTGTAGGCTATTTTTATTATATGTACAGCACTTTGGCTCGACCAAAAATTTGTTTATAAATGTGCTATATAAATAAATTTTGATCATGGCATACTAAAATAAAATTAATGTATAACATTTGTCTACAATCTTATGATATTATTTATGGCTATATTCTGACTTTTTCATGACGTACTTTTTTGTAAAACATACTTTACTATGACATTTTGTATGGTAACACTATTACTTTTTATGATGCCTTGGTCTTTTTCTAACTTGTGTACACATTAATATGAAGACTAAAGGTTCAGCATGGAAAAAACAAACCTCCCTGAAGTAATTGATTCTATCAACAAAGAAATCTGTTTTTACTTTACAACTCTTTATCATGCGTACTTTTGGCTAAATGTTCAACATTTTATTGTAAAGTAGTACTGGGTATGTAGAATGAGGTTTTTTGTGTAAATATTATTTTGAAGTAGTGATTTGTAACACAGCGCATGTGTTGAAAGTCATAGTGGTGATTTTAATATAAGGTAGCATTGCCCACGCTGATGTGTCAGATATGAAAGTAGTTCAGGTGTGTCTGCTCTCTAACGCGTGTTGTTGTGATTTTAGGCATCTTGTGTTACGGGGAGCTCACCGAGAAGCTGAAGCTCCTCTACAAGCTGCACGTCATTCCTGGTGAGTTTGCATCAAAGTTTGTTGACACTACAGATTTAATTTCAGTGGAGCAGAATTATTAGCTGTACAGAGGGTCTGCTTGAAAAATGTTGATAAACAAAAATGCTCTTTTTCTCACTTAACAGGGCAACTCATTTCTCAGGATTAGTTTTGTATGCATGCTTTTTAAAATAAGAAAGCCGACAGAAATAAACACTTTTAAATTGTTTAATGTCCTCGACTGAATGACTTTGAGTTAAATTTTGACAATCTTAAGATCACGTCATTTTAAAATACAATTGTATAGGAATGATTGAAGAGGAACTATGGTTTTAATTTAATCTAAGTTGGTATAAAATGACAGTGGTTAACAAAAGGTTTAGCAATTAAAATGTTCCTGATCATTTTCTCCCAGAAATCCCTCGTGAGGAGCCTGACTCTGCGTTTGAGGCGACTCAGTACTTCTTTGAAGACATCGCTCCAGAAACATCCATCGGTAGGAACCTAAAATTTTCTTTTTGCATCCTTTACATAAGCACTAAAAGCATGTGAACCTCAATGATATAATTTTAAGCATTATCAATACAAACAAAATGTCAAACCTTATAACGTAAAAATAAAAGAATAAATTAATTGCTCACTGAGAGGATAGGGAAATGACTAAAGCAATAAATGGAACAACAAAATATCATTAAAACAGCTTTAAACCAAAGTCCATAGTAAATATACCCTTCATGCATTTACAAATAATCATTTCATTTATTTAGCAATCCGAGATTTCCCCCAAGTCATCTGTTGTGTGGTTACTCCTGATGATGTTGCTATTGAAGACATGAGACTGCCATTGTGATATTTGCACGAGTGAAATCTGTGTTTGTGGTCATGGGCATGTCATATGATTAACTGGGGAACGGGTGGTTGGATTAATCTCGAAACCACACACACCACGGGGGAGAAACCGCCTCAAACACTGATCTGAAAGCAGCTATTTGGACAATCCAGCTTTCAGAAGGCGCTGATGTTAAACTGTTGAATTATCGCCAATTTGTAACACTTCTTATCTTGGGCTATGCTATCTGACTAGAAGGATTCTGGGTTCTACTAGAGTGGGTAGACAGGCAAGTAATTAGACCAGTGACCAGGTGGTTTGAATAGAACAGCCGGCAATTTACTGACGAAATAGACAAAACATTAAACATAGACAATGAATATTTTCTGCAGTATAATCAGAGGTAAGTATTTCACCTTCCCTTGTTTTCTGATTTCTGTGACTTAGTAAATGGTATCCATACAGGATGAACAAAATAAAATAGCCCATTTGATTTTAGACCGGTCTACTAAGCATTATTTATAGGTTTTTCCTATTTTAATCTCTTCAATATCCTGAGTTAACTCTTTTTCTTCTCCCTTTTCACAGGTAAAATATATCTGATTCAATGAAAAAACACAATTGTAACATCAATGAAATCAAATGACAAATGAAAACCTAGAGTACAATATATAGTGTCTCTTTAAATCCAGTACCAACCTTATAATTTCTTCAATACTCCTACCACTCTGGCAGTGAGTTCACCTATTGTCTCTTGATAAACCAGCAAGTCCTGTCGCAGGGGTAGAAAAGTCAACCTTATGCAAGCTGTGTGGTTAAAAACCTGCTGTATGTAGATTGGAAGCAAGAATGTGTGTAATACAATGGGCTTGTTTTAAAAATGTAGGTAATACTGCTAAAAGATGGTCACTAAAAGTTCAGTCTAGTTATTGGAATTGGATCTGATCTAGAGTCAGTATGAACTATGAGGAACTTGCATGTTGACAAAAACAATGATTTGAACAAAAGCAAAACAAAAATGTTTAACAGTGAGTTTTGAAAAGGAATTGAAAGTGTGTTATGAATTTCATATTTTAAATACTTTTATAAAATGATTAACAAACTCGGGTATGAACACTAATCTTTGTTCAGTAATTTAATTATTTACGTTTTGAGTTGTTGAATGTAGTTATTTTGGTCATTTTTAACTTTAACTATTTTGATTAAACAAAATGTTGATGTTTGCTCTCTTCAGGTCACGACTCAAAGAGCAGCAGTGAGAAGGATGATGGTTTTGTCAGAGTTACATTTAAGACTGAAAAAGGTGAGTAATGTGAAACACACTACATAATCCTGTTTGTCTAAACTGATCATTAGTTATAATCAAATGGAAAACCATGCCCGTTTTAACTTAACTGTTTTGAGGCTAAATGTGATTGGTTCAAAATATGGGTGTGGTTTTCATGGACTAAAAATTATTCATAAAGTCAGCAATTCAATGGAAAATTAAAACTCTTTCTTCCAGAATTTTGAAATAAATATGTGGATGAAGGTATGCATCCAGGGTGAGAACAACATTAGGTATTTGGTTAAGTTACATTAAATAGCCAGTTCTGTAATCCTGATACATAAACCAGCAGGCATTAGTTGCACTTTCATGCTTTTTTTAAATCAAATTTAAGAGTAAATAAAACATTTTTGTGTTCAATCACTGAATGGTTTAGGCCCAAAATACATTTCTGATCTCTCAGGTCTTCAGGGACTGGTCAGCTTTCTGTCCCCAGAGTCAGAACTAAACATGGAGAAGCAGCGTTCAGTTATTATGCTCCAAATATCTGGAACAAACTCCCAGAAACCTGCAGGTCCGCTGCAACTCTGACTACTTTTAAATCCAGGCTGAAGACTTTTCTTTTTGTCGCTGCTTTTAATTGAACTATTCATATCTTAAACTGCACTGTAACTTTTATCCATGTATTTTTTCTTTTAATGTTTATTTTATTAGCTTTTCTTTTTAATGACTGATTTTAAATGCCATTTTCTTAATGTCTTTCATTTTTTGTAAAGCACTTTGAATTGCCTTGTGTTGAAAAGTGCTATATAAATAAACTTGCCTTGCCTTCATCTCCCAGTGAAGAAACTGAAAACTCCTGAATGTCGCAATTACCTGAAACTGTGGAACCAGGAGACAAAATCTAAACTGGAAAACACAAAGGATCTCCCCAAGCTGAGTCAGGTGAGACCTCCTTGATATGTTGGTATAGACCAGGGGTTCCCAACCTTTTTTCCCAAGAGCCCCCCCAAATGACTCCTGTTGGAAGTTGTTTAAAAGTCTCAAAAATGCTACAATTACTGTCACAAACTGGATGAATGTGAAGTATTTTGTTAAAGGAGGATGAAAGCGTAATTAAGGAGCACTATTGGAGTGACTTTGATGGTTATTGGACTCAGGATTCATTCATTTGGATTCCCGCTGTATGAAGAAATTAAAGGACTGCGCGGAAGTGGAAACAATTCACAAAGGGATTAAACTGTTTAAAACACATGCTCAAAGTAAGCCGGATTTTGCCGATGTGTTTATGTGGATTCAAAAGTCGTAAATAATCTACAAAATGGAGGAGACCGATCTGATCGGAGCAACTGTGACAAATAATCTGAAACCGGCATGGACAATGACTATGTTTTAAAAATGCGCTTATCCAGAAAAGCCTGGTTTGGACACTTTACGCGCAGAAGAAACATTTTTATTAAAAAAAGAATTATACATTTCTGTCTTTTTATGCCTTTAATACTAACTTGAATTGTTATTCAAATTAATCAATTATTTTTTATTGTAATGTAGAGACAAGGCTTTTAGTGACAATCATGTATTGCGTTACAATTATATGTAAAAACATTTACATATTTTTTTAAAAGTCTAAATATCATATTTGGGAACCACTGGTATAGACGGTACATGCAGAAGAAGGTTGCTAACACTTGTTAAAACTGACCTCTTGTGTTTTATTTCCTCCAGAGCCAGTTTATCGAGCTGTGCAAGACCCTCTACAGCATGTTCAGTGAGGACGCTGCGGAGCAGGAGCTGTATCACGCCACCGCCACCGTCACCAGCCTGCTGCTGGAGATGGGAGAGGTGGGGAAGCTGTTCTCTCCTGGCAGGAAGGATCACAACATGGAGGGTAAACCAGAGCCAGATGTGTGTACCAGAGACGCCACAGAGCCCAAAACAAACCAAGAGGCCGTGCCTGCGTTCCGGCAGCGAGTCCAGGATGATGATTTTGCCCCTGAAGGTGTAGAGAGCAAGCAAAGCCCCTGTGAGGATGGGAAGCAGGAGGAAGGGAGTGAGCAGCTGCCTCCAATGCAAGACATCAAGCTGGAGGACTCGTCCCCCAAAGACACGGGCACTTCCTCCGCCATGCTGATCTCTGATGACGAGACCAAAGATGACACCTCGATGTCGTCTTACTCGGTGCTGAGCGCGGGCTCCCACGAGCTGGACGAGAAGCTGCAGTGCGAGGACATAGCAGACGACACGGTGCTGGTGCGCAGCGACCCCGGGGGGGAGAGGGGGAGCGCTCCCCACAGCGGGGGGGCCTACGACAGAGGGATGCCTCACAGCACCAGCATCGATAAAGACTGGACCATCACGTTTGAGCAGTTCCTGGCCTCTGTTCTCACTGAGCAGGCCCTGGTGATTTATTTCGAGAAGCCGGTGGAGGTGGCGGCTCGTATAACTAACGCCAAAAATGTGCGTAAAGTGGGGCGCTCGCTGTCTTCAAGTGACTATGATATCTCGCTATCTGGCTGAGATTCCACACACAGACTTTTTAAAAGGGAAGCATGGTCATTGTGTATAAAAAGTCTCGGTGAGTTTCAGAGGACAATGAAGGTCAGTGTATGATAGTTGAATGAATGTGACCAGAACTGGCTCTTAGCGATGTATTATACGAGATGTGAAAGACTTTTATTATAACAATCACTAGATTCTGTCCAGCGGAGAGCGATGGGACATTAATATTAAGGTTTGCTCAAATGAAATTGGTGTCTATGTAGTAGCTGTACTTTATAAGACATTATGCATAAGTGTTGATATTGTAATCTGTAGTTACTCTAGTACTCTTAGGCTACGTAGATGTACATGTCCACAGAAACAGTACAGTGCTAAACTGGTCTACATACGATCACCCTAACATTATATCTGGTCAAACTGTCGCTGCATTACTTTACATTTGCTGTTAATCATGAAACGATTTTTTGTTTCTCTTCAAATGACTATATGGTAAAAATGCAAAACGAAGCTGTGAAAATTCAACGATATACTGAATTTTCATGAATAATGTCTCACTTAAACTGTTGACTGAAGCTATTGTCTTTTCACACACACAATATACGACATCCTAAACATTCACTCCCTAACATAATATTCCCATTAATTGCTTCGATGGGTTTTCTCCGGTTATTTATTGGTAATATCAAACCATAAGAAAATGACTAACACCTGATATTTAAGGATTCTGTGTGTCTTTAGACACAAAAAAATGCTGTTGAATGAAAAAGTTGCACTTTCTTTATGTGATCCACTAAGATATTAAGGCCTTTTTTTAAAGAACCTGTTTTAACCTTTGTGCTCTGTACATTTTTACTTTGCTGTTTTTATGTAAATATGTTTTTTTATTTTAATTGTCCTGGTGGTTTTACTCTGGATGATGATGCATTGTATCACTCCATCTTATTAAAGTTACGGTATGATTCGATGCTGCACAGTTCAACGTCTCGAGACTTTTTATTGACTTCATCAGAGTGATATGTTACGACCCAGCACACAGACCAGTACTGCCATCTAGTGGAAGAGCCTTCATGCTACCAATCACTCATTTACATAAGACATGAGTTTTACCCATAAAATATGATTCCAGAGATAAATACATTGAATTATCATGTGTTTTTATTTGAACACGTTTAACCTAATATTGATAAAACTTCAAATTGCTGCTCAATTATTTAATGGCACATATTTATAAGTGTAATGTTCACCTTCATGTCTATTTTAAATCAAATTTTAAGAGTAAATAAAACATTTGTTGTACATCTCCCAGTGAAGAAACTGAACACTCCTGAATGTCGCCATTACCTGAAACTGTGGAACCAGCAGTGGCGGCCGGCCCATAGGGGCGCTAGGGGAGCCGCCCCACCTCTTCCCACATACAAAAAAATATATTGAAAAAAATATTAAATAAAAAAAATATATATTTTATATTTTTATTTTTAATGAACAAGGTAAATATCATACAATTGGTATCAGTAAAATGTATAATCTACAATAAAATCTCGTTCAAAATTGTGTTACGATGTCTAAAGTTACTGATAAGTCACATGTTTCCTGCCTGGCCTTGCCCGTGGCATTAGGTGAATTCACTCAATTCACCATGGCATTACCGGGCGGAGCTCCCGAGCCAAACAGCAGCAACCAGCACGTTGCAAAAGTCTCAATAGTAAACTGTGCCGCCGAAACATAATTTCAGCCAATCAGCGCCGTCAAATATTTTGGTCACGAGGGTGCTCACGTTGGCGCTTACGTGCGTTGACGTGAGTTGCTTTTTAGACTCGTGAGTGACCAAGGTGACGTAGTAGTTGGATGAGAATGGTGTGCAGGTGGAGTCGCCGGACCTCGGTCCGCACCCAAACAGGTAAATGCTATCTTTTGTTTCCCATGCTTGCTCTTCAAACAGCCGGGGACAGATACGATCTGTTCAGAAACTAGACAAAAGTTAAACAAGTACAAACCACAGACTGTCTGTGTCATGGAGAATACAGTCGCTGGTTTATTTATGTCTGTATAGGCCGTTGTTGTGAGTGTGGACGGTCGGAGCATAACGTTAGCTTAGCCAAGCTCCATTCAGAAAACAAGCATTCTAAAAGGTTTTTCGCCTGCCGTCTGTCTGCAGACTTGTCAAAGCATTAATTCATGGTTGTTACTAACCGGTATCAGTATGTTGTTACGTCGGCATCATTTAGAAACGTGTATTACAATTTAATCACGGTAAAATATGTTCATTTTGTTGTAGTTGTAGCTCCCGAGCCAGCGCGTCTTGTTTGAATGATGCGAGTAAACACAGCTGGCAGCCGCGGTGAAACTCGAGCGACTAGCGCAGTGCTTCTCAAAGTGTGGTCCGCGGACCACTGGTGGTCCGTGAGCGCCCCCTAGTGGTCCGTGAGTATATTGGTAACATTTCACATTTGAAATTAATTAATCAATTTAAGTTTTCCGCACTCTCGTGGGAATATCTCCGCAATGGAGCAAGGTTAAGTTTCACTTTTGATTGCAAGATATAGCCCAGCGCAACACCTTCATCACACATGTTGCCACTTGTTTGTACCATTTTCAGGCGATTTGTAATCTGTTCTAGAAAAACGATGTGGTTTTTGATATTTGTGGAGTTAGGTGGTCCGCGAGTGTTTTTTTATTGGTTAAGTGGTCCTTGGTATGAAAAAGTTTGAGAAACACTGGACTAGAGCGATGCGATAGGAGCGTTTAGAGCGAAGTGAATATTTGCATCGCGTCCGGTCTGAACGCAGCATTAAAGCGAGCTCCGCACTGCACTGGAAACGCGCCATTACATCACCAGAAGTCCTAATTTAAGGGGTCATTTCTCCCCAAAAAAATGTGTTTTACTCACTATATCAACAGCCCCACCAAAAATATGTTCCACCAGCCGCCACTGGGAACCAGGAAACAAGAACCAAGCTCAACCAGGTGAGACCTCCTTGATATGTTGCTATACACAGTACATGCAGAAGAAGATTCATTTACAAAATACCTGAGTTTTACCCATAGAATATGACTCCAGAGATAAATACATTGAATTATCATGTGTCAAATATTTAATGGCACATATTTACAAGTGTAACGGATAGCTGGGGCTAACGCGGAAACTAAATGGCGAGCCAAAAGCAACGACCTGTTTTTTTTTTTTTACTACCGTCATGCAAAAGGACACTACATAATAAAATACGTTTTCTGTTTAAATGGCAGCCGTTTTCAGCCTTAAATTAAAACAAGGTGAACAATCCACTAGGTTTAGTTTGAATTCACTTTTGACAAGTTGCATATTAAAGATATAAACACATACACATTGTATACTAAGATGTTTAATATTGTATATGATTATTTTTAAATTATTAAAGCATTTTTCCAAAATCTTGATTTCAATATTGTTAAAAGGGTGACATAAAAATCTCTAATTTGAAATGTTTAATACTTGCCAAAAAGAATGTTGATACCGGAATTCATGACTTTAAACCACATGTGTCAAACTCAAGGCCCGTGGTGAATTTACTGATTATTTAATGTTGTTTTTATAGGCAATAATTTAAGCTTTGTTAGTTCCAGGTTTAATATGTGCAATAAGTTCATTTCAATAAGTTCTGCAATAAACATTGAACCAGTCCGGCCCTCGACTAGTACCCATTTTTTTATTTTGGCCCACTGTGTATTTGAGTTTGACACCCCTGCTTTAAACCAACCATAACTTTTTCCCTTCTCACATTATTTTACTGTTTAGGTGCAAATGGGTTTTAAAGGATCTCTTTACATGTTCATTGTAAAAGCACATGCACTTCCAGCTTAAGATATGATAACCATTTAATGATCCACAAAGCGAAGCGGAGGTCCCCATGAGGGGAATCATTAATTTTATGGTGAAGACTTGGTTAGGTTTAGGGTTAGGCATGTGTTGATTATGGTTAAGGTTAGGATAAGTCTCCAGGAAATGCATGTAAGTCAATGTAATGTCCCCTGAAGTGGTGTGTGTGTGTGTGTGTGTGTGTCAAACGCACAGGGTTGTGTCTCAGGTTAACCAATCACAGCAAAGTTGGCACACGTCAAACTGGACCTTCTGCAGATTGAACGGAGGCTTCCCCTCTGACATAACTGTACACTGTAAATGTTTAATTCATCAGGAATGACGTTTCATTAGAACAGGAAAGATCGAGTATTGCTTTTATCACTGGTGGCCTTTGAGATATTAGTCTGTTTCAATTTTGATGTCTAATAGTTACTGATTACATTCATAGGGAAAGAGGCATTAGAAAAATGTATGGGGAAAATTGGAAGCTTAATTCTGGCCTATTATGTGCTTTCAATCCTGTTAACCATCTCAACCATAAACGTATTGATTCCTGAATGTTCAGCATTGTTATGTGTCTTTAAAACAAAGAAAGTGTCATTATACACTTAGCCTATTCACTTGCATACATTGAATTCAGTCTTATACAACAGGACTGCAAAAATCCTACCTCCATGAAGGTTATAATCTTCAGTTGTTGTTGAAATGACTGAAGATAGTGACACAACATTTAAGACTTCACTTGATGTGGCTTTTAATCTGTATTGCAACATCCTAAGAGGTGACTTTCTGTTATATCTAGCTCATTGGTATACAGTAAATTGGATGGGCAACATATTGGAAACACTTCTCAATGTCATGTGATAATACTCAACAGATACAAAAATACAGCATAAAAAATTATCAGACGGTTACAATTACATCTCTAGTACAAGTTTGTAGAAAACCGTTGAAATGTACAACCTTTGAGTGAAGCATTAATTGAATAACAGTTGCATTAACTAGTTGTAACTATTATAAAAACCATAGTAAAACGGCAGCATTGACTGACATTTTCCCAGAATTCCTTGCTATTTGAGAAGCTGCAGGGGTTAGTTTGAGGGCAAGGTATTATGAAACAGGCTCCTTCACTGCCAAACTGCTGAATGATTGAACTCTGTGTGACGTAAAGTCTTTATCTGATCCGTGGTGAACTTCAGACGCCAGTGCACGTCACTACTCTCCCCACAACCCAACTTGTTAAGCCCCGAGCCTGTTTTTCAGGTCTCAGGCTCGAAAATGACATTCCCAGAACAAATGACCATCTCTTCCCTTCTAAAAGGGTTAAATTAATAATATTTTTTCTCAAAGCAAGGTTACATCTGTGAGTTGGATGTAGAAGTGTCAGAATCAATATAGATGTTTATATTTTAAAGTAAATTCAGATTGAACACAGTAATAACATTTAAATGATTGTGTCCGTCCAAAAAAAAAATATTACTTATAGTGAAAACCACCCTTGCCTTGAATGATGGGTTAGTAGATTAAAAGCTTTAGGAATCCAAACTACAACATATAATAAGTACCCTGTATCAAGATTGATGCAAAACAAGTGATATTTGACCTTTTTAGAGAGATTTAGCACCAAAAAAACACTTCTGGGGTAATTTGGGTGGATTTTCCATATCTCTGGCCCCCCTTGCTCGATTTTGCTGATTGACATGTCTTTCTAACCGTCAGAGCCAATGGAATCGAGGGGAACTCCTACATTGTGTGTGTGTGTGTGTGTGTGTGTGTGTGTGTGTGTGTGTGTGTGTGTGTGTGTGTGTGTGTGTGTGTGTGTGTGTGTGTGTGTGTGTGTGTGTGTGTGTGTGTGTGTGTGTGTGTGTGTGTGTGTGTGTGTGTGTCAAGACCGGAAGCTGCGATAACTCTGGTGGCTACCATTAGCAGCTAACTTTTACTCTCTGAGTTTTACATAAAAATTGAATTATAAATAATTTTTTTCAAATCCACAGAAACATTATCAACCTATGGATCAACCGATTCAGCTGCGTTTCTTTCTCGTTTTAATGCCATTGAACACGTCTTTTGATCAGATTGACAGCTACGGTGAGACGATCTCCCGTAAAAGCTCCGTAAAGGTACGTGTTGCGATGTCTGTT